CCCCGGAGCCCCAGACCTGCCCGGGAGCCTCTCACCTTTGCTCTTTGGTTCTGAAACCAGACCTGGACTACACGCACGCTGAGGCCCGTCTCGGCCGCCAGCGTCTCTCGGACCTGGCCCAGGGAGAGGGGGACAGGTCAGGCCTGCAGGGACAGCGGCTGGGAGGGGCTGCCCCCGCCCTCGTCCCCAGCAGGAGTCAAGCAGTGGCACCTGGATGGGCAGCCCCGTGCCCCTCACCTTCCGGCAGGGCTTGGAGGAGACCTCGAAGGAGGCCTTGAAGGCTCTTCGCTGCTGCGTGGTGAGGATGGTCCGCGGCCGCTTGGGCCGCCTCGGGTCCTTCCCGTCGTCCCCGCTGCCCTTGCTCTGGCTGCCCTGCCCCTTCGTCGGCTTCATGTCTCCATCGTCGTCCTCACTCTTCACTGTGGGGGACACGACCCAGCCTGTCAGGGAGGGCTGGGGAGCAAGCCCAGGTCCCAGCTTTGTACCCTTGCGGGATCCCACCACCCCTGACTCCTGTTGTGGCTCCCTAGTGCCCCGGGAGAGCATCTGCCCCTTCCCTTCCCTGACCCTTCCTCTCCACACATCTCCCCACCACACACGCTCCTCCGGTCCTCATCCTGTCCCTGCCAACCTCACAGGTGCACCTAAGCAACCGCAGCCCGGCTCCACACAGTACATGGGCCACTGCACACTTATACACACCCATGCGCCTGTGTGTGCAAGGTGTGAGGACGTGTCCAAGAGGCATCTGTGGCCGGTGCAGGCTCTGGGCTTCCCCTGGCCCTCGTGCCTGGGACTCTGCCTAAGGTGCTGACCTTTGGCACCCTGAGCCCAGCACAGCCTGCCAGCCTTCAAAACATTTCCAGTTTGAGCCAGTCTCGGGGCTGGGGAGAAAAGGAGACGCCAGGAGCCTTCCTTCCTGAAGCTTCCAGGGACCGACACTGACAGGCAGCCAAATGCCCAGACACCACATGCAGCAGCACGTGTGAGCACACACATGGCCACACACACGCACGAAGACTGGCACGTGGGCTCACGAAAGCCCAGGCCCAGGAGCTCACAGATGTGCTCAGAAACATGGGCTCCCCAGGCTGTTCACTGTTCACTGCCGCCTGGGACTCGCGCCCACCACGGGCCTCCTCCTAACCAGTCTCCTCTCCCTAGGCCTGTCGTCCTCAGAGGAGATGTCCCCCTCTCCTGGGCCTGGTGTGAACAGGCAAGAGGAATCCAGGTGGCCACGGGACCGGCCATGCGGTGCCTGGCCCAGGGACAGATGGAGGAAGGCTCACTGTCTCCACCCAGGCCCTGGCAGGGACAGAGCTTTCCTGTGCGAGCAGAACCTGGGACTGTGGGTCCAGGACACCCCAAAGGGCAGCCCAGGGCATCTCCCACTATCCCTGCTCAGGAACGGCCAGGTGCCAGCCAACCTAGACTTTCTCAGAGAACAAGTGTATGTGTACATGTGTGTGTGTGTGTGTGCACAAACCCCAGCACATGTGAGAATGTGCACAGCATGTGCAGGCGGCTTCCGAGTGTGCAGGGTCACATGTGTGTGCTCAAGTGTGTACCTATGTGTATGTGTCCCAGGGGAGTTCTGGGCATGTGACCACACTTCCAGTCCTGTAACCCCATGCACATATGTGTACGGGTCAGTGTGTGCCAGTGTGTTCTGAGTGTGGGGTGGGGTACACGAGAGCCCGTGTGCACGTGTGGATGAGGATGTGGCAGTGTCCTGTGGGCAGCTCTGTCCCCGATCAGGAGCTGGCCTCTAGGGCTGCACAGCCCCTCCGCACCTGGCCTGCAGCTGCCCTTCAGCCCGGGGCTCACCGGAGTCGGACTCATCAGGGCTCACGGAGCTGAGCAAGTCCTTCTCCTTCTCGTAGTCGCCCTTGCACAGCAGCTGGCCCTCCTTGAGCACAAACTCGTCGCCTTTGCGAAGCTGTCGCTCGCACACGCAGCAGCAGAAGCATCCCAGGTGGTACACGCACTCCAGTGCCCGCATCACGAACTCGGTGGGTGCGATCTTCTCCATGCAGCCGCTGCACTTGGCTGCGAAGAGCCTGTGGGCACAAAGCTGGCGCGTGGGCTGGGCCCAGGCACCTCTCCGCCTGCCACCACTACCCTCCGACCTAAGCGGGAGACAGGGGAGGGCTTGAGCCCTACTCTGCATCCTGGAGGCCCTTCCGGCTCAGAGGCACATGGCCACCAGAGGGCACTGTGCAGGGTCAGCCGGATCTTCCAGGGCCAGGCCGGCCGGGAGAGAGGGTCCCATCCTCTGCCACCTGCACCAGGGCCCCCGCTCCTCCTCAGCCCACACTGAGCAGTCCCTAGTGCTGTTTAACCTCCAGCCAGGGTCTCGCCTCTCCTGCCCGAGCGCTGCCCCAGCGCCCTCGCCAGCCTCCTGCGCGCTTCCTCTAACTCTTCAACCCTCTTCCGCTCTCGCCCAACACAGGATCTTTTTAAAACATGTATCTGATCGTGCTCCTTTCCGGCCCCAGAATCCTCCATGTCTCCCCGGCGCCTTTGGGAGACCATCCAGGCTCCTAACCCTGGCACTAAGATCCTAACCCAGGATCTTGCCTCTTTCTCCTGCCCACCCACCCCACCCTCTGTTTCCCAGCTGCAGTTTCTTGAAAGCACCGTCACGGTGGTCTTTTGACATGTGCTTTGCTTGTGCCTTCCTTTTAGTTTTACTTTTGTAGTACTGGGGACTGAGCCAAAGGCCTTCTCACCCCAGCCACAGCCCCACTCTTTATTTCATTTACTATTATTATTATTATTACGTGGTACTGGGGGTCGAACTTGGGACCTCGTGTTTGCAAGGCAGGTGGAGGCACCCCTGAGCTAAATCCCTGGCCCTATTATTATTATTATTATTATTATTGTTGTTGTTGTTGTTGTTGTTGTTGTTGTGTTGTACCGGGGAGCGAACTCTGGACCTTGAGCTCACGAGGCATGCAGCAGAACCACTGAGCTAAATCCCAGTTCAGCCCCATTTTAGAGACGAGGAGATGGAGGCGCTGGGAGGAGCGTTGGCGCTCAGAGTCACGCGGGCCTGGCGCAGACCCT